CAGGGCAGGACTGTCACGCCTGTACTTTTTTTCTTTTTCGTACGAGTACCCCTATGCGGTAGACTGTAGGAAGCGGGAGACATGTGTAGAAGGTAGGATCTCAGGATGTCCTTGCTCAGGATATCCTTGCTTGCGAACCCCCAACGAAAATGGAGGTACATCACTGCTGAAGGCGCGTCTATACCCCGCGATACTGTAGCAAGTTAATTTGAATGCAGCCGGTCGTTGTATTTCTCCCTACCGTATACATAAGCGAGAACACCGACGAAACGACAAGGTTTCTCTCGTGTCCTCTATTAGAGAGTTTATTTCTTCTTTCACCAACCGCGGGCACTATTGAAGGGATTCTTGGCGAGATTATGATAGCATGTTTCCGGCAACACACCATCACATTTTTACAAAATATACACAAACACAAAGCTATATAAAACCCGTTCGAGACAGAACCAAAGATTAGTCTATTATTTTATAGTCGATATGGATGTGTGAAGTCTTTTTATTGAGTGTGAACCCGGCTGGAAACTGGTCTAACATTGAATCACCTTTGCTTTTTTGCTGAAGGCACTCAAAAGGAAGATGAGCTTGACACTACTTCCAGAGGATTGTGCCCCTTCATATGGTGGGCATAATATCTTGTTTGCGGCACAAACATCAACGTAAAATCCTTCGACAGCTGGCCGTGACGCTACTATATGTAGCCCACACCGGGCGAGGTGTCGTTCTTCTGAGCATTCGTCATAAAAGCAATTGCACGTGGCCGCAAGCTTGCAACGGAAAAGGAAACAAAAGGTGCCGTTACTTAGCAGACTCGAACGAACCGAAAAAGAAACCGAGAAAGCTCAAGCGTAACGAAAAGGGGGGCCAAACATCACATGCATAACGGGGGGAAACAGGAAGATGAAGCGTTTTTCGCCATTGCCCCGTCCCCCGACGCCACGCAAAACTGTAGAAGAACTCGAGCAGCTGTCCACCGATACCCACACAACGCCAACCTCCTTGCTCTCGCTCGCGGCACATCGGCTCAGAACAATGTTGTGTCAATATCTGTAAGAAGCTCAGCCAGCACTAAAGTTTCCTCGCCGTGCTAAAATACCTCCCTAAGGTCAGCCTGGCGCGGCTGCTTGGAAACGTCCGCTGTGCATGCATTACCCGCACCATAGAGGTATCTATCTGGAGGGTGTAAACCCGAGCAAGTCAGGACCGGTGGTGCCCTTGGCGAGGGCCCGCACTATTAAGCGGGTTCTGTCTGTGCCAAGAGATTTCACCCCCACCATATCGGGCACACCTGCACCACATAACCCCGCCTGTGAGAGTGTCCTATCGACAAGGCGGATATCTTCCCTCGTAAACACACAAAAGAACCATGCAACGGAGCCACCTTGAATTTCTTGATCGCTTTCTTCACCGACACCCCGTCGTCGAACGCCTGCCACTACGACTACTACCGATGGCGGAGGAGGCCAGCACCTGGTACCTGTCTGAAGTATAGATCGCTCCAACATTAACTGGAAACTGTGGTCCTCGGCAAAGTGCAACCCCACTGGCTCAGCAGGGTCCGCTGCGCATGAACACTTTCTATCGCGAAATACACGGCTGGCCTTGTTCGTTCTTGCCGTCTCGACATACACACGCTACAGGAATGCACACTTGAAGCGCAGAAACCGTTGATCCAGGGGTTCTAACCGGGAGCAAAAAAATGTCTTGCGATACCCCCGCAAAACAAAACACATGGCCCTCCGCACGCCCACGACTCCAACCGTCTTCGTTCCGCTCTATTATTACTGTTACAAGACTACTGAAGTCTTCACGCGCACGAAGCGGAGGTGTTTCCCGACGACTGCTATGTACGACACTGGTAAGACCAGTCTATCGAGACGTTGGTGAACTTGAACGCCACGCGGTTCTCGGCGAATGGGACTCACGAGAGCAAAGACCACATCGCTAGGATCGGACGCTGTGGATACGGGCAAGCAGCGGTGTGGAGGTAAAGCCTAACTTATCACAAGCGGTATCTCACCAGCGCGCCGCCCTGAGTGTTGCACCCAACAGAGATTCGCTCCTCTTTTCCAGCCCTGCTGCACCTCAACCTTCACAACCTTTCACCCGTTCGTTCAGTGAAAAGACAGTACATCAAACGGAGATACTTGAAGTAAAGTCGACTGTTCAAACTCTGTAGAGCACCTATCTCCAGCACTTGTCACACGTGTCACACTGTGTAAGGAGGCCGGCCACGCCACCTCAGCGACGGGGTGGTCGAATCTTGACCCGAACGTTAGCTGTTGCTGGGCCGCCGCCCACACGACTCCGGCAATAGGTTGATCGGACCAGTGCCCGAACGATAGCCGTTTCAGGGAGGCCGGCTGCGACTCCGGCAATAGGTTGGTTAAACCACAATCCGAACAATAGCTGTTGCAAGGACGCTGGCCATACGACTCCACCAATAGGTTGGTCGAAATGATCCCCGAACGAAAGCTGTTGCAGGGAGGCCGGCCACACGACTCCAGCAATAGGTTGGTTGAATCTTATCCCGAACGATAGCTGTTGAAGGGACGCCGGCCACACGACTCCAGCAATGGGTTGCTTGAATCCTGACCCGAACGATAGACATTGCAGGGAGGCCGGCCACATGACTTCGGTAATAGGCTGGTCGAACATATCTCCGAATGACAGCCGTTGCAGAGACCCCGGCCACACGACTCTTGCAATAAGTTGGTTGAATCTTATCCCGAACGATAGCTGCTGCAGGGACGCCGGCCACACGACTCCAGCAATGGGTTGCTTGAATCCTGACCCGAATGATAGTCGTTGCAGGGAGGCCGGCCACATGACTTCGGCAATAGGCTGGTCGAAATCACCCGCGAACGTTAGCCGTTGCAGGGAGGCCGGCCATACAACTCCGGTGATGGGTTGATTGAATCTTGACCCCAACGCTAGCCGTTGCAGGGACACCGGCCTTACGACTCCCGCAATAAGTTGGGCGAACCACCAAGTCCCAAGTTTCAGACGTGTCAGCCTTGGGGGCCACGCCACTGGTCCTGGGCTAGGCGCACACCACAATCCCCTCAGCTGAAGAGCTTCTGTCGACATCCACAGCTCGATGGCCGCTTTCTGCAGCAGAGTTTCCAAGCGGAAATCCCATGTCAAATAAAGAGCGCGTGCAACCGGCACACGGCTCGAGGTACGCGCCTGCGAGTTGCCTTTTATCGGCCGGGCCTGTACTTCACGAGGAGACCATAAGCTGCTAGGAGCGTTATGCGTTACACCGACTTGCAAGATCGAGACACTTCGGCAAGCCCTGCAGATATCCAGCGACGTCAGCTGCAACTCCAGTGTCGACGCATACCAGCTCTTCTCCCCTCCCGCACATGCTTGGTTTAAGGTGATGACGAAGGCATTGAGGCACTTGGTTTGCCCTGGCAACAGTTAGCGAGAAGCAAAATCGAACGAATAACCGGCAAGGACGATCGGACACATGACAGCAGTACCTCATGTCGATACCATAGCCGGTGATATCCATCGGGTGCAAGGAGACACGTGGGACGAGAACGCCTGCCCTTCCCTCATAAGCTCTGAAACGTCAGAAATGGATATTCGGTCGGCTCCGGAAACACGTCGACGACCTCCGGATCTGAAGTAGGAGAGACATATGAACTCTGTCGGCGATGCTGCTCCTGAGGTAGTACATTGTCAGGACCAGGCGCAAAGTGAGATTTTTCCCGTGCATTGTGGTGGGTTTAAGCGGGAAAGCGGTCAACATATCATTGTACACGTTTTGGGTGTTGCCGGGGGCCCGTGGCGCGTTTTTTTGGAGAAAATTAGGCCGATCAGGACACCTGACGACGCCAAAAATGGCCCCTGTAGGATACAGCGCAACGTTGCGACAGCTCCTGCTGTAGTGCCGATCCAAAATTCTAGAATTGATATTCAGTGAGTTAGACCACCAATCCCTACACCCACCAAGTACTGAGGAACGTGGTCAACTGTACGCTTTGCAACAATCACGTGAAGTTTAGGTTGGGGGGTGGTATCTTCCGGCAACTTTCGGGCGGGCCGCTCTTTTTGATCGCGAGGGCGGCATCTTCATCTGCGTATGGTGCGCTCCTGGCAGCTACAGCTACACCTTCGGCACCGCAGGCGAGGGAGGTGCTGTCAAAGTCTTTGAGCGTGAGTGGATTCAAGGCCATGGGTGTCAACGGCCACGAGGATGTGTTTTTCTTGATGGAATTATAATTATACAAACGCGCGCCATGTGTACACACACATACATACATGTCGACAAGCGGGCTGCACAGCAGCTGTTACGCTGCTGCGTTACCGCTCTGATAAAGCAGCGTTGCGGTCTAGTAGAGGAACGCTTGAGTCTATAGGTTACGAAAGCGGAGATGTAGGACTGGCTGCTGAGTAAATTGCTCTATTGAGCATAAATTGCGCAGCACACGCAACTGTGCATATTTATATTATTAAGTCACGATCCGTGTGTCTGCCGTAGATTACCGTTCTCTGAAGGCCTGTATGCCTAGGTACAGTATTGGTCTTTTACACGGACGGTTAGAGCAGGTTTTACTCACCGCCTGCTGTGTTGTGGGTGGATATCAACATGTGTGCGCAGCAGTGGCAACATATATTGCGCATGTAGTCAACATAGTAGCGGGTACGACGCATTGGAGCGTATCCGTAATTCAGGATACCGCATACCATCCGTTCCGCGAAGATCACGAAAGGGAGAGAGCACGACGAACACGATCTCCGCACATAGGCAGCTGGGGACGCCATTTTCATCTTGGCGGCGAATGTACACGAGGATAAACATACAGGCATACCGTTCGCTTGATACAAATACGTGTGCGCACCCCTTTCTGGACGCGCACGCATTGGCAGTACTGTATGATGAGAGTGCAGGCAACAACGCATTGTGCCCCAAATGGCATGCCTCTGTCGGGGTTCTATATAGCAGGATGGGAGTCACCCGGAAAAAGCGCACGGGGGTCGGAGTGGAATAGGGAATTTCGATGGTTAACGACATGGCGGTCGTGGATCACCAGGCGAACGTTTGTTTCTTGGAGAGCATGAGGGAAAGTATCGATGAAGTGCTCTCTGGCAGTAGCATGGCAGACGATGTGGCACTCGGAGCACACCTTGGGATGATCGAGCACGCGAAGAGCTTCAAGGACGTGTTGTGCAGCAAAGATACGGACGTCATCCTGTCGGTACGTACGAATTCGGCGATGGCCATTGTTATTGCCGACCTCTTCGGCATATTACCGTACTCGTGTCGTACCCCCCCCCCTCCCCCAGCAAACTGGAGGACGATTTTCAACATTATTGCGAACATCAGACCAAGTCGGAGCTGCCAATATTTGGGTATGGGACCCGTCATCCGTGTTTGGCAAGACGAGTGCGTTATGGTGCATTGGGAAGGGCCAAGGCTCCACACACGTACCTCTTTCTTTTTCCTCCTCAACGCTTGGTCGTGTTTTTGCTGGAAAAGTGGGAATTGGTCTCTGTTGTGCTGATCCCCCCAGGTTGTATCACCCCGGGGGTGTCAATGGTACCCCCCCACAGGCACACGCATACCAAACCACTCACATTTTTCTCTTTTACCTCCGTGGGAGGACAATTACTCACAAAATCCCGAAGGCAAAGTTCATCCCCCCCATCCCGCGCCAGGAGGAACGACTCGGACGATTACTGTTTTCCATGTGTTCAGGGCGCAATGCTTTGAGAACGACAAGTCAAAGCCACCACTGCAAAGCATTACGTGGACATATTTCTGGGAAAAAGCCGGTTGCGGCAGGTGTCCCTTCAAACCATTTGTGTTGAAGGCACCTTGTACGAAACCGTTCATCGTGCAGGTGCGAAGGGCACACCATGCAAAAAAGGATGAACATAGGAACGCAATCGCCGCGTCGCGGCTTAATATACCGTGTCCGATCGTTTGGTTCAGGGATACGAGGGCTTGGTGAGGCGGCCCATACGCGTGGGCAGAACAGCAGAAGCCTTCCTCAACGGGGTGGACAGTGCGGACGGTGGGGGCAGGGGGTACCCCTAAAGATTCGCCGTCGCGTCGGGGGGTTTTGGTGCCAAGTGCAACACCGAAGCGTTGAGGCTGTCTATGTCAGTACGTGTAGCAGTCATTGGTGCGGCCATTATACGCGTCAAGGAATTCATCAGCGGTCCGGGGTACTGTGGCCTCTACTGTACACTACAGAGGTGCTTACCGGTGATTGCCTCACTGACTTTGCTCCAATGCATTTTGGCGTGACGTATTTTTTCATGTTCCAGTCGTACTTCGACCTGGCGAAAAATGCCTAAAAGCACCAGTTCGTCAAGGCCCTGGGCACCGAAATGAAAAAGGATGGGGTGGTCCCCGGTTTACATTTGGAAAGCGAATAATTGGTCAAATTTGTCGCGCTCGCGTACTTTGGAAATGAACAAGTGGTTGTTTGCTTATGCGTTGCCGGGGCATCAAGTCGCGGGAAATAAACGGGGAGGGGAGGTTGATGAAACGAAGGCGTGTGTCCAAGCGATTCAGGAGCGAACTGCTGAAAAATGGTACGGTCTAGGGAATCTTAAGAACGCCGCCCCGAACTTTGATGTCATCGACCTCTGTGTCCTCTGGGTGTCGTGGTTGGTAAAATATTGGCTTTCCGTTGTGCCGAGTGATTCTGCCAGGTTCTTACGTCTCCGTCAGGTACCCCATTCAAATTCCCAAATGGGACGGGATGGAGAACATCGAGAATACGAAGGTTGAAGGTGGTTATATGATGTTGATGCGCAGGTTCCCTAAGGTCACTGTTGTGTGACCTGGTGGATTTGAAACGGTGAAATGCATGTGTTCATCCGCGAAGAGGAAGCGAGGCGATCGCTGCACAACTTGCGTTTCCTGCACTAAAGGTTCTCGTTGCTCAGAGTTGTGCAGGTGCAAGCGTACATCCTGCGACGAAGAGACGGAAGAAAGTGAGGTGCAGGTAGATGATTCAGCTGTGGAAGGACTCGTGGACGAAGATAGTGACAGCGACAGCGACGAGGAACCTTTGCCGGGTATGTTTGATTCTCCGACGGAGTCGGGTTTTAGTGGCGGCGTGGTTTTAGGTTGTTTCCAGGAGGATGACGTTCATGATTACGAGCAGACAGAGCAATACCATGATGTAGGGCAACAGTTGGATCTGCAGCCGAGTGATATTGGTACCTCGGCACCTTTGGGTGAGTGGAGTAATGAAAGGTCAATTTGGGTCTTCGATTTGCTGTTCGTTTCCCGGCGAGAGACTTGTTTGGGCGGAGCTTGCGTCTCCGGGTGCTGGCAATGGCCCTCACTTGAAGGATGTTGACTCCGCTACTTTTTGTGCGCACGCCGTACATGGCAATTTGTTTTATTATGCAATGCACCCGCGTGTCAAGTAATCCCTTGTCAGGTCGCCACGACAACAGAGAGAAAAAGCACGGGCCTTGGTAACTCGGTCAATTCTTTTACTGCGCACCCCGTACACCGCAATTGTTTTTTTTAATGCAATGCACACGCGTGTCAAGTAACCCCTTCTCATATCGCCACCACAACACAAAAGAAAAAAACACGCCTTGGTAGCTCCGCCATTTTTTCGGACTGCCCACCCCTTACACCGCAGTTGCTTTTATAAGCAATGCACACGCGTGTCAAGTAACCCCTTCTTCATGTCGAGACCACCTACACAAAGAAAAATGTGCGCCTCTAACCTGTAACTGTCGCGTGCGTGTGACAATGCGTGTGGCTTGAAAATGCTTGTATTCGGAGGGCAACACGCCCCGAAAACATGCCCAACCTCGATCCCCTCATCCCCGAAATAGCCCAGTTCGAAACCTACATTTCTCCTCCCACACCGGACGTTCCATTGTTTAGAAGTGTGACAGGGACATCACGCCTTCTACATGACCGAACTCAAACTTCTTACTGCTAGTCAGGACAGAAAACAAGCCTCGTCCCGTTGCCGCAGCTCATTTCCTGGGTATACCACACACTTCAGAATTCGCCCAACTTCGCCCTGTTCACACGTGTATTTTGCTCTACTTAGAAACACACACACAGGTGAGGGGTTCGTTCGAAGCCAACCACCCCGGTCGGCGCAGGGTTCCAGAAAATAACGAGACAGTTTGACTGCCACGCCTCTAGTAGCCAACGACATCGCGGCCTTGACAAAAGCCAAAGCACCGTTGTACGGAGGGCTCGTCACTACCCAGTCAGACCTTTTCCCGTAGGAAGCTGCGACAACGTCGTCCGGGAATGACTCCAAGCTTGCGTCAAGATTGGTGCGCTGGACGCCTGGCATCGATAACAACAGCAATACAAGTGTGATTGCGCCTACCCCCCCCCTTGTCCAAGGTAGGAAACTTGTTTGCTCTCCTACGAAATCCCGGACTTTGTTGGAGGTCCCAGGCCTCATGTGTCGCAAGGCAGAATCCTCTCTTTCTCGGAGGCATGAGGAACATTCCAGGTGCCGACGTATGAGAAAACCCCGTGGTCAAGCACCGAACACTGTCTTCTCTCTCCTTGCAGACACAAGCTTCCTTAAAAACACTGGGGAACCACTGCTGGATCTCGCCCTACAACCATCAAGACTCCAATCGATACAGGACACGCACGAACGAGTGTGTTGGTGCGTTGGACCGCTATCGTGGTACTCATCATCAGGCTGAAAGGGTTCATTCGGTCCAGGTGCTGCCATAGCCGGTGGGGTAAATAACGATGTGCCCCACCGGTGGGTAGACTAGGTACGTAGTAGATACAGCTTTACTTCATCCCCACAAATTGGATATCTCCCTACAACACTTGAGGCACACACAAGAACCTGTATGGTCGACAATCACACACACAACACACAGTAGCAGAAGTCGCTCCTTTCCCAACCCTGCTACACCTCAATGATCACAACCTCTCTCCCGTTCGTGCAGGGAATCGACAGTCGATCAAACGGTGATGAAAAAGTCGCTTCTTCAAACACTGTAGAGCACCGAGCGGGGCCACCCCCCCCCCCCCCGCACGTGTCACAATCTGAAGGGAGGCCGGCCACACAACCTCAGCGACGGGTTGCCTGAACCAATTCCCGAACGATATCTGTTGCAGGGAGGCCGGCCACACGACTCCGGTGATTGGTTAGTTGAAACGATCCCCGAACGTTAGCTGTTGCAGGGAGACCGGCCATGCGACACCGGCGATGGGTTGATTGAATCTTGACCCGAACGATAGCTCTTGCAGGGACGACGGCCACGCGACACCGGTGATGGGTTGATTGAATCTTGACCCGAACGATAGCCGTTGCAGGGAGACCGGCCATGCGACACTGGTGATGGGTTGATTGAAACGATACCCGAACGATAGCTCTTGCAGGGACGTCGGCCACGCGACACCGGTGACGGGTTGATTGAATGCTAACCCGAACGATAGCCGGTGCAGGGCCGACGGCCACACGGCTCCAGCAATAGGTTGGTTGAAACGATTCCCGAACGATATATGTTGCAGGGACGCCAACCACGTGAAACCGGTGATGGGTTGATTGAAACAGCACCCAAACGATAGCCGGTGCAGGGCCGACGGTCACATGACTCCGGTGATTGGTTGGTTGAAATCATACCCGAACGATAGCTGTTGCAGGGACGCCGGCCAAGCGACTCCGGCAATAGGCCGATCGAAAAGTTTCCCGAGCGATAGCTGTTGCAGGGACACCGGCCACACGACTCCTGCAATAGACCAATTGAAGAGATCTCCAAGAACCAGACGTTGCAGGCGCCCGGGCCAAGACATCGACCCCGGGCTAACCCCATACCACGATCCCTGCAGCTCAAGAATTTCTGATGACATCCACAGCTCGGTGTCCGCCTTCCGCAGCAGATATTTCATGGAAAGCGCCCATGTCAAATGAAGAGCACGCACGACCGGCACACGGCTCGAGAAGCGCGTCTTAGAGCTGCGTTTGATCGGCCGGGCCTCAACTCCACGAGGAGACCATAAGCTGCGAGGAGTCTTCTCTGTCACGCAAACGCGCAAGATCGACATACTTCGGCAAGCCCTGCAGATATCCAGCGACGTCAACTGCAACTCCAGTGTCGGCGCATACCAGCGCTTCTCCCCTCCCGCACATGCTTGGCTCAAGGCGACGCTGAAAGCATCGAGGCACCTTGTTTGCCCTGGGAACAGTCAGCGTGGAGCAAAATCGAACGAATACCCGGCAAGGATGATCGGACATATAACAGTCTCTCATGTCGATGCAATAACCGGTGATATCGATCGGGGGTACAAGGAAATGAGTGGGACGAGAATAGCTGCCCTTCTTCCATATGCTCTGACACGTCAGGAATGGGTATTCGGTCGGTCCTGGAAGCGCGTCGACGACAGCTGGATTTGAAGTAGAAGAGACATCGGAATGTTGTGGGTGATGCTGCTGCTGAGTACATTTTCATGACCAGGGGCAAAGTGAGACTTTTCCCGTGAATTAGTGACTGTAAGCGGGAAAGCGTTCATCATATCATGCCAGGACACACGCACGAGAGAGCCCCCAGGGTCCCAAGCAGCCCACTAGGCCGACCTCAACTGCTCAATATCGCCAGCGTTCAAGGTCCAAACCACAGGCCGTTTGGCCGTCGATGGCCATGTCTCGACATTGGTGGATCTTGAGCAGGAAGACCTACTCTTTCCTGATGTCGTGGGACAAAAAGTAGGAGTTGTGGATGGTAGTAGAGAGCATCTGTCAAAACACTCATGGAAGGAACTTAGAACGCGCACACGACAGAGGGGATAGCGAATGATGCATCGACAACCTCCCTGGTGACGACAACCTCGTTAAAGAAACGAAGACTCATGGCCGACAGCGTTGGCTCCCATGCAAGAGATCCTCCGCAAGTGCGTCGTGTCCGGGGGATGCCCAAAAAAAGAAGAAAGAAACGAGACCAACGCCCCGTGGCCATCACTAAAACATGAGAGACCGATGCTGCCCGGGAATTTTCCTCTTGTTTCTTCTTCCGCCCACCTACCTTTGAGAACACATCGGGCTGCTAGTTTCACCACAACCAATTTAGGTATCCCCCGGGGCTCCTAAAAAACGACCAAGTTCAATGTAAAGAAGACCATCTATTCTATGCGGGCACTCACAATCGCCAAAAAACAGAACTGCAGGGCTATTCACAAAGTAGCTCCGTGTTGTTGAGGTCGCCAGCGGGTTTCTGCGCGCGCTGTTTTCTCCAGCCCTTTTTTCGCTTTTTTTGGCTTTATTTTACTTCTTCAGCTGGTGCCAAACTCGTTGAGAAGGTGCAGCAGAGCCGTATCACTCCGATGACGCAGAATCAATGAAAGAGAGGGCGCGAGGTGCAAGATAGAAAACGTCGGAGCAGCCGTGACTCCGCCACAACAACATCAAGTAAACAGGATTGTGTGCTTGCAGTTTCGTTGAAGCAATTTGACGGCGGTGGACACAAACCAACCAACGAAAACCACTA